TTTTACTATTCAAATTGGAGCGAACTTTTAAAAAGCCCGCCCTCAAATACTCGGGATTACAGTTTTCTTTATGTAGTTCGGGTAACATCCGCTACGGACCTGTGGAGCATTAGTATTTTGTATCTACAAGTATACAGTTGCCCATCTAAACTTGTTTCTGTAGTCTGTGTCTGTGCACTCAGCTAGTGACTGTCGACGCAAACACATGTCGTTCTAGAACATCAATTTCTTCTGATGTAAAATAATAAATAAATACTATACACATGCTCAATATACTATACACATGCTCTTATTCGGACAAACCGTCAAAAACAACCCGAAGGAAGACATCGCCGCACTGTGCTGGGATGTCTTCCTCTGGATTGTCTTGATTGAAGTAATTTGGAAAATTAGGTACTCATAATCAGTTCTTCCGAGTTTGAATGTTTTGGAATCTCCATGAAATAGATCTAATATTGTCAAAACGTATTTGAAGAGATTCAATTGCGTTTGTAGATGATAGGTCAAAATTGCTTAGAAATGTTTGAAACCGTGTTAATTCACCTTTGATTTGAGTTCTACTATTTTTCTTTTTTTTTTTAGTTCATATTCGGCATTGGTATCGCCCTCGGATTCATAAGGCACCTTGTTTTATTTTAATGCAACAGGCAAAGCCTCTACAATGAATATCTATTGATGTTTTAGCTGTGCATTATTTTGTATCGTTTTTATTTAGTGTTGAAACGAAGACTTGCGTGCATTCAAATACCTAAGCACTATATGTAATTAACTATCCTTGATTTTATTGAAACTATGTGACCTTCATCGTTTTGCCTAATATTTTAAAAAAAATTGTCCAAAAAGGTGAAATTGGCAAACACCTTCCTGAACGTGTATTTTCGTAACTATCGTGTGTCCAGAATGTTCACTGCAAGATTCTAGCTTGGCACTTGTGTCCAGGTAACAATCGAATTTTTATCACGGCAATAGTAAATTCAGACCTGATGTATAGGAGGTGGATATCGAGAGGAGTGACCTTTACTGGCGTTTCTTCTCACTTCTCCCACGTATTTCGTATTTTCGCTTGTCATCCGAGTGAGAAAGACCAATGTGCGGGGATGTCTTCCTTCGGGTTGTCTTGGACGTTTTGTCGGAATAAGAATATCAGATATTGAACATGTGGAATGTTTTATTTGTTATTTTACATAAGAAGATATTGATGTTCAAGAACGACGTGTTTGCGTTGACAGTCTCTTGTTGAATGTCTCTTTACGCACATAGTCGAGTGAGTTGCCGATCGGGCCAAGTCACACTCGGCGCAGTTGCCGCACCTAATTCTAAGAATCAAATCAGAAGAATCTTGTTTTAATTTTCAACAAATATTTTGCAAATTTGAAAGAAAAAGGAAAGGAAAACGAATAGATAGTATGAAATACTATCATATGTAGGATGATTGTATGAAAAAGGGGAAACGCACAATAACTTGAAAATTTAATATAATTGAAGAGCTTCAAGGATAATTTATATGATTTCAATTTTGACTATAGTAAAACCAATAATGATTGAGAGTAAAGCGCGTTGCCATATCTAAATTTTACGTTACCAGTTTATAGCAGAATCAAAATATAGTAAGCAGTAGAGTTGTAGGTTGTGGCAAATTATAGATAATACACAATACTAGTACGATATCATCAATAGATTGAATTTCCTGGAGTCTATAAAAGTGTAAATAAAACTATATTTGCGATATCTGCCCTGCACTATACAAGAAAGTGATCCAAGAAAGATGATCCAAGAAAGAGCAACAAACGACCGACAATGATTGATGTATTGAAATAACTTAATTATTTTTTGTTATAATGAATGTACAAATGAATAAATTCATAAAAACCATGTCACATTCCAAATCTCGTCTCAAAAGTAAGGGACTCTTCCATCGACGTCTTTCATTTTCAGAGAATGTGACGAAAAACTCGGACATCAAGTTGTGGATACTAGTTGATGTCCGGTTTGTTAAGTACACTATTTTTTAAAACATTTCACCCTGTTAGTATCTGATTATGTCTTATGGGTAGTTGACACATTTCTTGTCTATATAAATTCACACGTGTAGTAGAGAGAGTGTGTATATTGAACTATAAAATGTATATAATCTATTCATCATCCTAGTTTTTACATTTTTGTAAGGTAGATTCATGCACCAATCATAGGAATGTTGAAAAACATTTGATTCAACTTTAAAACTTACCACAGGTGCATGACTGTTTCCACACTGCAAATAAATTATCCAACTTCTTGCAAGAACATATTACTTGAGCTTTGACTGGTGCATAAATCAATCTTTATGAGTCGTCAAAAACCTATTCAACTTTTAATGAACAAATATCAATCAATAGTTTCAATAAGTACTCATTTAATATATCACTAAAAACTATTGAAAATCTGAGTGATCTTATGATGCGTCCACCTCTTTAATGTCCACAGATATTTATTTACGAAAGGAATATCAAGGCTATAGGTAATCAAATGTTTTTCCAAGCTTCCTCAGTAACAACAAATTTCTGAGTTGAAAGATGTGACTGGTTATGGAACTGATAAATCTTCCTACTTTTTCCCTATGAAATTCATAATTTGTCACTTATTCATTCATTCATCACTCCCCCAGAAACATGTATTAAGAGGAATCCATGCCCACTTGAAACGTATTTTACTTATAGTTTCTCAACCAGTTATCCGATTTTCATGCAACTTGCACCGATCGCTTCAAAAAAATATTCCTCAAGTGCCTGACTATTGTTTTTCGAATTTTTGAAAAGAAAAAAAATTATCCCAACTAAATTGTTTTGAAATCATGGAAAATGAGAGTTACCCTCTAGTGAATANATGTAAATCAATGTCCGTAAGAGGAAGTAGTTCTTTAATGACAGATATTTGCCTTATTTTGCCATTTTGTGGAAATGTGTAGAGATAAGGGTTCTATTTTGTCGAATTTTTGTTTCATTTGATTTAACTCTCCAATAGACACACTTTTCGAACTTTGTACGAAAAGTGTGCTCCTGAACTGGGAGAGTTTCGTCTAAGTTGTCAACCTACATTTTTCATGAAAATCTCTATCGCTTCAAAGGTCCTAATTTTTATATAATTGTGTATACAAATTGAAAATATATACATTACATATATTAGTTTTGGTCATAATTGATCAGACAGAAATTAGTTTTTTCTGTTTGTTCTGTTGGTTGCATAAACTGCTAGGCTTGTTACTAAAACTAGATGTTCATTAAATGATTGTTAAAATTATTCCAGATCAATCGAAAATGAGAAACTGCATGAGATTCTAATGATGCTTTCCATCCCCAAAAATGAACATTGTACGGTTGCCCTGTGAAATTGGTGAATGGCATCGCATCTGTCACAAATATCCCTAGCAATCAAACATAACACACAAAATTCCCTAGATTCCCTAGAAACTTAATTTATACCATAAAATAGTTATTAGGGACCTTTCTTTAAAAAAAAAGATATGCAGCTGGCAATGTCTGCGTAGTTCAGAATATCTGAAAAACTCAATTGTTCAAAATTGAAGGACAATTCAATTAAACAATATGGTCGCTTGTGGAATTTGGTAGATGCCAAATCTAGTGGAAATGAATTTCGCTAATAGGGCAGACAAAAGCAAAAAGTTATAATTAACCCGTGTCTCTTGGCAAATAGTTTGATGAAACTGCTCTTCGAACAATTTCGAAAAACCAGTGGGAATGACGTCACTTCAAAGCAATATTATCCAACAGTGCGACGGTGAGCCACAATCTTCAGTAAAATAATAGAAAATATTAACGTTATGGATTCTATTGAGTTACGTAAAACAACAATGCTTTGAGACTGAACCGCTAGAAAGAGTACCTAATATGTCAAAGAATGTAAAACGGGGAAATACAGGAACCGAATTAATATACGAAGCAGTCTACTACAATAAATATACACCTACAAATGTATTTATGTATCTAATCGGCCATTTTGAAATACCTGATATGTACTCACAAAATGTTTTATTGCATATTTTTAATGGAAATGAATTAATTATTACCAATCATCTCTCTAGTAATTATACTGAATCTTTCAATAACAGTTCCACTGTCAATGAAAAATGTGAAAACGTTTAATATTAATTCGAAGCATCAATTAAATCGACATAATTTTGGTTATCTTTAATGAAACTCAAAGTAAAATGCATTTGAAATAAATTTTACCCTACGTAGTATGGCAATTTTCCGCTAAGAATATGATGGTTATTCTGATTAGAATATTTTGTGTTCGGCCCATCGACTATGACACCAGTAAGCTATTGTGAGACAGACTTGATACGCGTGTTATGTATGGACAACCCATGTTATAGATATAGCCAAGGCCAATTCCCGGAGTGCATTTACATTAAGTATCTCACGCTGGATACCAGGAATAGTAACAAATATCATAAACTCTTCAATATTTACATCAGAAAGTTGTTCAGAAAAGCAACGGCATCGATTCTCAATTTGAAATATTGGATTAAAAAGGCATATGAAACGATGTATCCATACAACTATTGATTGATACAAAAGATGTATTTCAAGAATTGAAAGGTATTTTTTGATTCAAAAATAGCACAATTTCTCTATAATGCTCCGTAAATAGAGAAGGCATCAACTACAGAATGTTTATTTTATAACCAAGGCTGTAAGAACAAACAAGCATATTATTCTCGAGTCGTATCAGAGGCAAATGAAGTTGAGCTTTAGATTCTCCTACATTTCTTTATTGTTCACAAATCCCACCAGTAATTTACCAAAAAAATAATCAAGGATAAAAGGTTTCACCATGAAAACAATTGGTTTTCAAACAGGGATATCCTCTGGCATGTGAGTGAATTCATATGAATTTTAGGCTTCGATCGTATTTTCGTTCCCACCAGTAATGGAAATTTTATGGAACCAGCAACTTAGTTACATAGACTGACACAAAGTTTGATCATAACTGAGTGTATTGGGCAAATATTGTTTGTTCATTATACAATTTCAACGAGCCACTAATGTCTCTGCACTCTTAAGTAATGTATATTTATTTAGTTCTGACAACATAAAATGTAAGTTGGGTTCTCTGAATTGAACGTTATGTTCAGAATTCAAAAAATACCTCCTCTTTACTTAAGCACCTTACAATAAACGTAAAAAACAACTTAAACTGAAATGTCCTTCAATTAACAATTTGGTAAAAGACACCACACAAAAAAGGACTTGGAAAATAGAAATTTTTATCTTTATTCAAAGAGTCAACTAAAAATCAAACGACCTGGATATATATATAGATATGTATATACACAATTAAAACCAATAGCCAAACCAAAACACCATAATAAATATATTAATTACACTTCATTGTCAGCCACAACTTGTTAATCAAATTAAACAGCACCGTGTACATTTGCGAGAACAAAAGTAAAGCAATGTCAACATTTCAAGTTTACAATTCTTTCAAGATTGAACATTGTGTGGTGTTCACTTGTTACTGTTTTAAACTCAATTGATATAATGTCCAGTATCTGTCAGTTCATATTTGTATTTAAAATATCAATTGTTAAGATCTACAACAGTCTCTCTAGCTGAAATTCACTTCATTCCACTAGCTTCAGGACCTTTCCAATGGCAATTGTCCTATCTGTAAAAAAAACATTTTTCAATGTTACTTTTACAGTAACACAAATATTTTTTAAATTCATACTATGATGCTACTTTATTGTTAATACAAAAGCATCTGCAGGGTTAAAGCTTGTCTCAATCTCACGATAGGTCACATGACGACCTTGCAATATCAGTTCTCGCACAGCATCAATGGTTTTCGGAACAACTGATTTTGGACGACCTTCACGAAATTTGTCTTGGAGTGAACTACGACCACGATTGAATTCACCATACCATCGATACACACTGGTCCTTGATGGAGGTTCATCGCCAAAAATTGAATCAAGTTCATCTATGCACTGTTGCTGAGTTAATCCACGTCAAAAGTTGTAAAAAATATTATTTTCACGATACGATGTTCATGATTTAATTCCATTTTTGGGCCGAGATGAATCTTTTAAGTTACTGTAAATAACACAAATAGCGCGCGTATGTCAAAACGTTCTGAGTACGTATAAGCTCAAAAATGTCCAACTTTACGATAGAGATGTCAGTTGCCAGATTGCAACACTAAGGTTGCCAAATCCCGAAACATAAAAGGCAACCCTCGTATATCCCATATTTAGGTGTGTTCGATTTAAATCTTGGGCCGACCGAGCAGAAGCAGATTTGATACCACATGATCAAGTGGGGGGTCAGACCTAAATATGCTAACCAGTCGTAACAGTTACAAGATTTTAAAAGTTATTTTAACAGAAACAGTGAACTTACATGTATCCAAGGATTTAAAAAGACTTTATCAATAATTTTATAGGAGAAATATCTCATATTCAACGTTATTGAAAATAACATATCAGAAAATGAGTCAATATTACTTCTCAAATCATCACTTACTTTCGTCTCTGAGCGTGAATCTTCCCATTTGTGGCATAGATTTGAAAGGTTCTAAGCAAATAACTCCAGCACACTCTATTCTCATAATTGCTACTTGGTCTTGTTTAACAAACCTTGGACGAGTCTTACTTTTTTCTCCAGTTTTTTTGTCAACTAGACAAATTAAGGCCTGAAATTATAACTCACTTGAAAAATAAATCTGAAAAATATGATTCCAAAATTACTTTAACGGTGACCTCTTCTGCCGCACAATGAATATGCATGACTGCACTGTATCCAGCACATATAATGGATTTATGTTCTAAAATTACAAGCTGAGCATCAAAAATTCGTCCTGTATGAATGGGATTGATGGAATCGCATAAAACGAAACCGGGACTAACGTCTTCTTCCTCAACACCCTTTACTTTTATTTTGACGTTTTCACCAGGAATTACTCGATTAACTTCATCATCATCGGAAAGCAACATATCAACAGTGACAGGTGTCTAAAAAAATTTAAAAATACATTATGATCAATATTGAAGAAAAAAAGTCTTGCTCATTTTTATTGTATAAGATGGAGAAATAGAAGGCCAAAATGTTTCTTTCCCAAAAATGAATCTCTACTAAACTATACCCCTGACTTACTGACTGACATCCTTGTGAGTTTCAACGTAGTGTCTTCATTCACTAATATTCCCGTATCAGACACATTGACCATTCTCGAAACGAAACACCAAATTTCCAAAAGCACCCTCAACCTCATCAGTCACTGTATGTCCAGCAGATACTTTCTCTTCCAAGATACTTTCTACAAACTAAAGGGCGCCCCTAAGATTCTCCTCTTTCACCATTCCTTGCAAACCTTTTCTTGAAAGACTTCGAAACCAAGGCTATTGACAGGTTCGACCACAAACCCTCTTGCTGGTTCAGATACGTAGATGACGTTTTTGTTATATGGGCCCACGGCTCCGAACCTCTCCATAATTTTCTTTATCATCTCAACGACCTCCACCCAAATATAAAATTCACAATGGAAATTGAAAGCAATAACTCCCTTCCATTCCAGAAACTCCTTCACCCACACGATCTACAGGAAACCAACGCATACAAACAGATACCTCAACGCAAACTCCCACCATCATCCAGCACAAACCAACTTCGTCTTGAATTCTCTCATCCATAGATCTATCAACCTCGCAGACCACCCCAACAAACCATAAGTGCTAGCCCAACTCAAATCAGCTCTCCTTCAAAATGGATTCACAGACCATCAAACTGACAGATCCATCTGTCGTCAACAAACTTCTTCGTCCAGTCCCAAAGATCCAAAAGACAATAACGTTCCCCACAAAGCTTTCCTTCCCTACATTAAAGGTGTAACTGACAAAATTACATTAATGTTTAAAGAATTAAATATAACAGTTTACCTGAAAATGTAAAGTATTTGACCAGTCTCATTCTGTTCAAAAGGAATTTATTAAACCATTAAGAAACTATTAAAGTGATACCCAATTATTATGTTTTTTTTGTATTTTTGATAATTGTAGGTTGTACTTATTAACAAATATCAGTAGATTTTTTTATTATTGTATTTATACAGGGTGAGGCACCAAAAAAGAAACAGATCGAATATCTTCAAAACACATGTTTTCTGAAAAAATGCAATAACACGTCGATTTGTAATCCAAGGGGGACATCTTTCTATCATAACCTTAACTGTCATAACTCTCCCCCACCCCTCGGTCACTATCACCCAAACAATTTGAATAGGGAAAGTAGTAAGTGTGACACATCATAAACAAGGTAATTTCATAAGGAATTCGGCCATGTCAATTTTCGCTACCTAACTTTCTATTTTGGCGCCCTCTTTCAGGGACGGAACGTATTCTGAATTATGATACTTCATTTACAAACTAATTTGACATAAATTCGGTGACAATGCATTATGGAATTTTTCTGAGGGAAAAAAATGGCGGCTCCACAATAACGGACAAGATTTGCAATTATTGTCCGATTTGATTCAAAATTGATAAGTGGTGGTTATCAGGGTCGGAAAGTATGATTTATTTGTCAATGCAAAAAACAATATGGTGGCTCCAAGATGGCGGACGAAATTTGTTATTATTGTCTGATTCAAATCAAAATTACTAAGTGGGGATTTTAAGGGGAGGAAATTATGATTTTTTTGTCGATGCAAAAAACAAGATGGCGGGCCAAATTTGTAATTATGGTTCAAATCGACACGGCACCGAAAACGAATTCTTCAAAACACGTGTTGTGACAATAATGCAAAAACAGTCCAGGGGGGGCATCTTCCTATGGTAATTTCAACTGCCATACCTCTCTCCGCACCCCTTGGTCACTCATACAATTTGAATAGGGAAAGGGAATAGGGAAAGGGAATAGGGAAAGTGTGACACAGCATTCTAACTTATGATATTGTATTTAAAGGATAATGTGAACAATTCACGGGAAAAAACAAAAATTGAAAAAATTAACATTGATTGAACTTGAAAATTGGAAAATTGTGCATAAATTTCAATAAGATCAATCTCAAACTACATTAATTCACAGTAGATGCTCGAAGTGTTCTCCATTCACTGCCATACATGAGTATAAGTTCGTCTCAAAACGTTGTCTGGCGATTTGGAGCATGTCTGGGGTTATTTGACAACATTCGGTTATAATACGTTCACGTAACTCTTCTAACGAACCTGGCTGAGTGGCGTATATTTCACTTTTTAAATGGCCACACAAAAAGTAATCTAAGGGGAATAAATCGGAAGATTATGGAGTCCATTCATGTACTGACGAACTGCTACAGCAAAATGTGGAGAAGCTCCGTTTTGTTGGAATATTAGGTGATCCTCAAGGTTATTGTTTTCTATTGTCCGTTAACGTTGGATCAACAGTACCTTCGAATAATTTCAAATACATGTCCCCGTCAGATCACCTGGTAGAAAAAATGGACCAATAATTCGATCGTCAAATATTCCAGCCCAAACGTTTAATTTTTGTGGGTATTGCGTATGTACTTGGTGAAACACACTTGGATTACAATCTGACCAGTACCAACAATTATGTCGATTAACAATTCCATTGAGATAAAAACTGCATTCATCCGAAAAACAAATGTTGAAAACGAAATTTGGATCTTGTGTAGCACGTTCACTCATGATTTCACAAAATTGTATGCGACGATCAAAGTCGTCTTCGTTAAATTCATGAACCAGTTTAATTCTATATGGATGGAATCTGTGAACTTTCAAAATTCGCCCGACGTTACATCGACTTACTCTAGATAATTCGGCAAACTTTCGTGTACCAAAAGTTGGATCGGCAGCAACCTGTCCTAAAATGACTACCCCACCGCTTCGTTTCTTACTGGGTTTTCAATTTGACGTTTTTTATTTGCCACAGATCCCGTTTGTCGAAGTTTTGAAATTGGTTCCAAAACGTATTTACGATTTACGTTTAGGTGTAGTTCATTGAAAATTCTACTGGCTGTGTTGGCACATTGATCATTTTTGAAGTAATATTCAATTATTTCTACCCTACCATATATTTTACTCGTTAATGGACCTGAAGTACTACTAACAAGAAACTGACACACATAAGCACTTCAAAAGGTTTTTAAGTGTTCCAATACATAGGCGTAGTAAGACTAATTGTATTCCAAAGGTACGAATGTTGTCAAATAACTCCAGAAATGCTCAAAAACGACAGAAGGCGTTCCGAGAATAACTTATACTCGATTTGAAAGGGTTATATTTTTAGGAGTGATTAATTTTTGGGAAAGTTTTTGGCTTTCTACTACTCCATCTGATTCAAAAAAATGGATGAGAGAATCTTCCAAAGAAATTGATTACTTCCTTCCTTTCTTTGGAAGATTCTCTCATCCATTTTTTTGTATCAGATGGAGTAGTAGAAAGCCAAAAACTTTCTTTCCCAAAACTTATACTCATTTATAACTTTTTTCGAGATCAATTGCCCTAACACCAAACTGATATTTTTGCACTCGACGCGCGTTTCGCCAACAAAGTTAGCATCCTCAGGAGACGAAAATTGATACCTAGTCTAGTCTAGTTAATCCTTATATACTGAAATTTGTTACCTGAGGTTGTATACCTGAAGTCCAATATGGAATTAATTATGGAAATTTTGTTTACAAATTGACATGTCTTGAAGATATTCGATATTTTGTTTTCGGTTCCCCACTCTGTATGTATATGAATGTTAACATTATTATCATTGTTGTATATTATTGAGGTGTACCCTATTTGAATAAATAAAGCATTTATAATTCAACGGTATGACAAATAATTTACTGCTGATGAGTCTGATTATTTCAGTATTCTCTGTGCTCTCTTCACGTTAAAAGAAAGTATGAACATTGATTATTACTTCAATCCTACTCATTCAATAGCGCCGATTTACTAATCAAATATAACAGAGACAAAGAACCCGTCCTTAAGGATCTATGCCTGAACAAAGTTCAATAGAAATTTGTGAATACACCAGCAAAAGGAGCTTCATGAATATTTGTAAGTTAAACTAAATGAGTTTTGATAACTTACCCTATTGGGCATAATGAGCATTGTTTGTCCTTTTTTACATTCACCTGATTCAACCTTGCCCATCAGCACAGTTCCCATATCTTTATATTTGTCTACAATTGGCATTATAAATGGTCCGTCTGCTTTTCGATTGAGCGATGGGATATTATCAATAAAGGGAATAAAGGCATCCCCCCTGTACCAGGGGCAAATTTTTTCATCTACTTTATCTTTCAAACCTTGCCCTGTTTGCCCAGAACAAGGTAAAAAGAATAAATCTTTATTATAGTTGAATCCTAATTTCCTAAGGTACGGCAAAATTTTGTCTTTGCACTCGTTGTATCTGCAAGGGAAATGTAGGTTAGAAAATAATCATTTTCTACAAATATTTTGGAAATGGGCATTGTGTCCTAGAACTTTTTATCAAGAAATATAATAGATAATAAATATCAATCAGCACCTAATAAAACTGATCTGCCCTGAAAATATTCTCTTTTTAGTTGTAACAGAAACGTTGCATAATTAACAAGTATAAACATTCAAAAATAGAGAACTTTCCAAAATTTTGATATTCTTTTCAACAAATAACGTTAAAAAAAATTAAAATATACCTCTACTTTCAACTCCACTGTACATTATGAATTTGTAAAACATTTAGTTTAGATTTTTTCACCATATTGATGATGTACTAACTAGAACATAAATTTGACAAGAGCATAGTGAGAAATTCAAAATGTTATTTAGTGAAAGTTGATATGGATTATTGACACTTCCATATATTAGCTCTAACCACTACTAATACAGGAATTTATAAACAAAAGTTATGGAAATAAAAAAAAATACAAGGTAAATGTAAATGAATTTTCAAAAATATCATTAATAATTTGGAAAACAAGTTTTCCTAGAAAACATTGATATACAAAAAAATATTTTCTATTATATTTCTAGTATTGAAACATCACTATTGCTCAGTTATTTTGAAAAATCAATGCTTATAATTTTCCTTTTATGTTATCTGTTACAAGTTCACATTAAATACTTGATTTTTCAGATGTCTTTTCATAGTTTTAAAAGCAGGTTCTCTTCAATCAGTTTATATTTTTGAGATGAATGATTCATCTTCATTTATTATCGAAGTGAATTTAACACAATAAAAGACTATATTAACGGTTGTTGATGTTGGAATTAAATATCTTCAGAATTTATTGTTCCAATTAGTATGTCATCAACTCATGGGATAATTGGCAGAGAAAAACTTTGGTTTAATTTATTTTTTCAAATGTTCATTATTTTAATGGTTTCAATATTTCTATTAGGTATTTCAAAAATAGACAGTGAAAATAAAATTATCAGATATAATTGATAGGAAACTCATACATTAACATAATTTCAAGATGATGATAGTGAATGAAGCTATATGTGGAATTCTAAAAAAGGTTTATTATTTTAAAAATCCTGATGAACCTCTCCGCTGAGTTCCGGCAGCCCATAATTTAGTTCCTAAGTAACAAGTAACCCGTTTCAATCTACGACAACGAAGGTTACAGTCTGCACACTCGCCGTCACGTCAAAGAGCATCACAACACACCACGACACAATAATATAATTCCGGTATAAGACTTTTTCACGAAATAATGAAAAATTAAAATGGCTCATTCACTTAACTTTGCTAATGCCTTCATCCACAATAAACTGAATAATCATAAATTCATCTACAAGAACTAGTGAACACCTGATACATTCTTCAGTTCAGTCTTCTGTTTGAAAATGATAAAAATACTATTTTTTTTTTCAAAGGTTTGAATCAAGCCAATACCACAGGTGTGAATTATGTAGAAATTTTTTTTTGTATGACAAGTAAAATCTAAGGAAGTGATTCATTTTAATTGCAACTTAGTTTTCGTTTGAATGGAGAATTGAAAAATACATTTTTTGGAAAGCCAATTGAGCATTAACAATCTGTGGAACAAAACTGCCTATCTCAATAAAATAAGTTCCCCTACACCTTTCAATTTATTAAGAGTGCATCATAATTTCCTGTCATTCTGTTCAAAATGAAAGTATATTCACCGATACATTATTTTGATTGATTACTCCATTTAATAATTCAAAGGTTGATATTGCAGCGCATTGAAAAATCTCACCTTTCTTCATCCCAGTTAACTGTGGGATCATCCATTTTATTTACAAGCACCACTAAATGTTTTACTCCTGCTGTTTTAGCTAACATAGCATGTTCCCTAGTTTGCCCACCTCTGTCGAATCCTGTTTCAAATTCTCCTTTTCTTGCCGAGATTACAAGTACCGCCAAATCTGCTTGTGCTGCACCACCAATCATATTAGGTACAAAACTTTTATGTCCGGGAGCATCAAGAATGGTGAAATGTTTTTTTTCAGTTTCAAAAAAGGCACGACCCACCTCGACCGTTTTACCTTTGTCTCGTTCTAAAATTCAAAATGAAAAAATGGTCAATAATCCATGATAACCAAGAATTGTGAAAAGAAATTGAGATGATTTATAAAACACCCTTCGTGGACTTTTTATTTTTTCAATATTTTAAAAAAGGAACTCTAAAAAAAGTTAAATTTAGATAAACAGAAACTTTATCATATATTGATAATCAAAAATCAGTCTCTTTTTGGAAATCCAGATGGTGAAATAAGATTGAAAGAGATATATTTTTTGAAATTGATTGCTTCCTTTCCTTTCTTTGGAGGATTCCCACTTTTATGTATAAAGATGGAGAAGTAGAAAGTGAAATAAGAGTATTGATATAATTCCATTAACAAAAGGGGGAACAAGCTAAAAATGAGAATTTTCCTGATAATAACAAGGATAGTTTAAGTGACATTGAAATTATTTCCAGTTTTTGGCATACTGCTTATTGGAGTTTATTTAATTTGTTTAATTTAAAGTTTTCACATACACAAGATGTTATAATAAGTTAGCCGTGACGTTTAAAAAAAATAACAAATGCACAATTTTGATAGATAAACAATTTGGATTTGATTTGGTTCTTCGAAACTGGATATTTTCAATAATACTTTTATGATTACAGGTAAAGTCATCTTGAGATTATTCATTCATAATTTTTCATGGAACGAAATTTACCTTCCTGATTGGTATCCAGAGCCCAACTCAAATACCAACTTTCTCTACTTTTCTCTCGCGCTTCTCTTTCATACTTTTCTAGTGTTCTCTTATCCACCATGCCTGTTAATGCCATAATTTGACCACCAATAGTACTTTTACCAGCATCCACATGACCTATGAAAACGACATTTACATGCTCTTTTTTTTCTTCAACAACTCTTTCTTTGACAATGTTTTTTTTCTTGATTTTAACAGGAGCTTCCTCTGATGAGGGTTCATCATCATCATCCCCTTCAGGTGTTGTAACAGGTGGAGCTGAAGCAGAGGTACTATCATCATCAGCGGCGTCTTCCCAGGTGCCACCTTCCCCACTTGGGGATGCATCTCCATCTGCAGGAGGCATAGGTGGAGGTTCCTTGACTTCTACACGTTCGGCGGAGGAATCGGCGTTGGTACCTGAAATAATTAAAATTTGAACTCTAAAATATAAATCAATAACCACTAAAACTAATCATTTTAAAATGTCAAATATATTAAAACTACACCTTATGTAATATGTATCACAAAAAACTTATAACGATCTTTTTTTCATACCAGTTTTAGAAGTCAATTTTGTAATTGGAATTTTTTTTAACAGATTAGATTTAAAATGATTTCTATAAAAAAGTATAATCGATTAATTCCGTCAGCATAAACATTGTGTGATCGGGATTCAAGGAAGTCAACATAGGTCGTTTCTGCCTAGTCCTGATTGGCATAGGTTCTACCGATGAGAGTTACCAAAGTGCTTGAAAAGATGGTTGTCAGTTGGCGAGAGGTCCCCAAGCATGGTGGGTGAGGCAGAACTTAGACGCTCAATTCGTTCAATTTTCGGATGGCGATTTGTGAAACGTATGCACGAGCGTTGTCGTAGAGTAGGATAGGACCTGTTCTGTTGACCAGTGCCGGCTGCTGCTGACGCAATTTTCAGTACATTTTGTCGATTTCCTCACAATAGGGCTTTGCTGTGATGATTTGACCTGGTTGCAGAAAGTTATAACGAATCACATCAGCCCCTGATCACCATACAATAACTTAGTGAGTTTTAACCATTGGGAAGTGCCTGTGTGGCTCATCGGTGTCCAAACACTGTCCTCAACGTCTTCTGTTGTCGTAAGGGGTCCACTATTTATCACACGTGACGATCCGATCCAAAAAAAAAGGATCGTTTTGGTTGCGCAAAAGCAAAGAACAGACCGCGAAACGTAAAAAGTTTTGTCAATCATTCAAATCGTGTGGCACCCACTTCTCGAGCATTTTGACCTTTCCAATACGTTTTAAACCATCAAAAACCGCATGGGAGCTGACGCCCAGTTCTTTCGCCCTCCAACGCACCGATTGTGACGGGCCACTTTCCACCAAAGTCCTCAAATCCCCGTCCTGGATTAAGTAGGTCGACCACTTCGGGGCTCATCTTCAAGGCTAAAATCTCCGGAATGAAATTTCGAAAACAATATCGAACAGTGTGTTCATTAACACTACCGTTGCCAAATACCAGGTTAATTTTTTGGGCTGTTTCGGCAGCGCTTTAGTTCAATTTGAACTCCTGTCAATAACATGCTTAATTATGAAAAAGGAGCAGAAGTATGTTCTGCGATCAACGAGGGAAATATATAAAATGCCGAAATTAGAGAAATTGGGAGGTAGTTGAGAAATTATGAGAAGGTACCTAGAAAAGACAGATTGAAAAATGTTCAATATGGTTCGTGAAGATTACTCTATAACCTTTCAAGGTTATAGATTTTATAGGTTTTTAAAGTTGTAATTATTAAAGAATATTACTGGAGTTTTATCCCAACATCAAACAGTTATTTTAACACCTCCAAACTCAGTTTAATCTTCCTCTTGAAGATGATCACTTGGTAATTGAAACACGTATCGAGGTGTTAAAATAACGGTTTGGTGTTGGGATAAAAATCCAGTTATATTCATTACTACACCAAAGGTTCAAGACAGTGCATCACAAGTAATTATTGAGTTGAGAAGTACATTGAGCAGCAACGAATTTATATTAAAAAAAATAGAATAACAAATTATCGAGTTTATAATAATTGTAGCAAATCAGTTCATTATATGTATGCATGTAATCCAAGGTGTGAAAAAATTACACTATATTACAGAAGAAAATTTCATTAGTTACAAAGGAGTCGAGGAATTCTACACTAATAGTTCTAGAAAAAAGCTAAAACAAAAATATTTTTTTGAAAAATAATGCATTGATGACAAACGGAGTATATTCATTTCATATTAAAAAAAATAGAATAACAAATTATCGAGTTTATAATAATTGTAGCAAATCAGTTCATTATATGTATGCCTGTAATCCAAGGTGTGAAAAAATTACACTATATTACAGAAGAAAATTTCATTAGTTACAAAGGAGTCGAGGAATTCTACACTAATAGTTCTAGGAAAAAGCTAAAACAAAAATATTTTTTTGAAAAATAATGCATTGATGACAAACGGAGTATATTCATTTCTTATTATGTCATATTAGAAAATGTTGAAGGGAAGAATAACTTTCAGGTATGAAGTGCATTAAGAATTATGCAATAAAAATTGCCAAAAATTTTAAAGTTTCTGAACAGCATCAAAGAATTGTAAGATGTGTAGACTACATACAAAAGTTGTAATATTTGACAATCTGGCTGAATGAAAATTGAATGACTGACATGCCTGATATCAGCCAATTTGTATTTTTGTTTTACTTATTCAAGATGACTTCAGTGTAACAGAAGTAATTTTATTCCTGTTCATGATACAATCAATGATATAGATATCTTTTAATCTGTGAATAAGGTAATTTCAGAATATGAGGGAATGGATAAGTGCAACTTTATTGCAGCAGAATTATGTTAGGAGCAACTATCCCGTGATACTCTGCAAAAAAAGATCTTATGAGGTTCTTAAGTCAAATGAATATTCTGATTGGCTCGGCCGTTACTTGATGAAGATCCATAGTAATTTCACAAACTACACCGGAAATTATTTGATCTTCACAAACTTTAGTTACAAAAATATCACGACATGTTTGATAGTGAAACATGTGATAGTTTTGTAACTAAAGTTTGAGAAGATCAAATCGTTTCCGGTGTAGTTTGTGACATTCAAATGAATATAATGAAAAAATTGGAATTTTTGTAGTGAGTAGACTATACATAACGGGACTTGTTACTCGATTTCGATATTCGTTGGTTAAGCAACGGAAAACATTTTGCAATGTTTCTCTGTTGTGTGCAATAAAAGGCATCTCCATTTTCCTTAAAAATGAAGTGAAGCCTGATACACTAAGTAACTGTAAATTGTAAATGATTTTTTTTTATCTTTCTTGAAGTTAATGTAAATGGTAAATCTATACAGGACCTGATATGTGACTCATATATTAAAATTGTATCATTTACACAGAGTATTGCTAGCTTACATGAACATATAAGATCATTAAAAAACGAAAATTAGGCTTTACAAAATATTTTTTTATTTCAATTTTTAAGACTTGTCAAAATTTTGGAAAGTTAGATTAATTTCAAGAAAGAAAAGCATAAGGGAATATTTATTTCAGAACAGTAATTAGTTACTTATCCCTAATAAATATTAAGGAGCATATGATCAAAATTTGCAAAATATTTCTGGAATTTGGCCATTCACTGATCATAAACATTATTATAAAAACAGTAACACTAGATTCATGAAAGTAAATATCAAAAAACCTTTAATTTTTTAGATGGATATCACAACACAATCACACTCTAAGTTACTCCTAAAAATGACATGTAAAGAATTATTTCAGGAAAAAAATATCTTTGCCAAGTGATACCAACTATTAACAACTGATAACGTGAGAACCTTTTCAAGAGAAAATAGAATGGACTCCAAATTATAGCATAATATTCTAATTTAGATCTGACCTATGAGTAGTAAAGTATTTTGAGGGCATTTGCATTTGTGAACTTTTGAAAATTTCTTATAATAAATCCAAGCACCTTGTTGGCCTCTCAAGGCTTTTTTATTGGTTAGGTAGGTAAATGACATATTTCAATAAAACAAAAACACCTGTCTTTGGTTATGTTTCCCCATATTAATAGGTGTGTATTTGTAAATATCATAATGTGTTTTCTAATAATTGTCATATTTTTGTATTAGGCTATATTGAAATGTAATATTTGTTCTCACACCATTATTGTGTAACGTGTTTTAATGAATTATAAAAGGTTTTAAAATACTAGGGTACCGCCGCGAAACAACACTCGGTATGTATAGTGAATTTCCTCACACATG